TATTGAATTACAAGTTATGAACAGATATTCAATTAGTGGTGATATGTATGGCTATAAATACAACTAATTGTATGTTCACTCATATACTGTATGATATGAATTCAAAATTCAAGGCTTAATGTCAAATGAATCTAATTTCAAGTTTTGATAATCAATTCATTTGTTATTTAACTGTAATTTGAAATAAAGACTCAAATATTAGGAATAAAAATTACGTCCAAAACATGTGCTCATAATTCTTGAGATTCAAGAATTTCATTGTACCCGTGAGAATCTTTTTGAATGAGCTTGATCACTTCAATGATTTATTAATTTATGATTATTTGAAAAGTTATTGCAATTTGTTTTATTTTTAAATTATTTAGAAATTTATATTTTTGTCATATAATGAGGTCATCAAATAACAAGTAAGAGAAATTATTGACACTTCTGGGGAAAATATTTGTAACAAGGTGCTATTAATACTAACAGTATCAAGAAAAAATCAATTGATCTGTTAAGCAATACTATGAATATTAGTTAATTTCAGAAATATATTATAAATCACTTATAAAAATATTGTAATATTATTAGGAATGTTAATATACTTAATTATTTTGATTTCATAAATCTTTTTTATTATATAATTTTAAATTCATTTAAATTAGACTCATAAAGATATAATTTTTAAAGGAAATGGCTTATTTAAATACACGTTTTACTTCTTATAACTTTTAATGTTGTTATTAATTTTATAATACATTATCTGCACTAATTTATAACAAAATAATGTAATATTATTCAAATGATTTTAAGTGTGCTTAACATTTAGTATCAGATGCTTTAAAATTTGCAAGCCTAATTGATTTGAAGCTGAAATTTTCAACACTATTGAACATTGTGCAGTAATTAACACTTGGGTTAACAAACTTCTTGCTAACCAATTAATTTGTCTTAAATTATCTCTATTGAAGAATAAACTAATCTTGAAGTATTACTCTTATGACAGAAAACCAATCATTTTGTATGATTTTATAGCTGAATCTCACATTTTATTCAGACAAATAATGTAAATAATGATAACTCCTAAGATTATTTTCAAACTAATAAAAGTCTAAAACAAAACTTTATTCTCACTTGAGCTTAAAAATTGCAAATTAGACATAAGTTTGCTACATTAAATTAGTAGACTATGATTTTGCCAATAATTCATATTGTATCGCTATTTCTGTACGCAAATAATCCGTACGGAACTAATGAAGCAAGTTTTAATTATATAACTTATAAATTATTAACTTGTTTACTATTCTTGTGAATATTAATTATTTTCTATTTATTAGAAATGTTTGGGTACTTGACTGTCAACTACTGGAGTAAACCAATCTATTCCTCAAACAAATCCTATGTAAGTCATATTATGGTTATTTAAAAATTATTATTGAGTAATATTCTTATAATTTATATTTTTATAATGTTATTAGCAATAGTATTGAATGGATGCAAAGATCAAATAATTCAACTCATAAAACAGCGCTTACTAATGATATAATTAACAGAATTTCAAATGAAAGCAAACGTAACTCTACTTTAAAACTTTGACAATATTGCTAAAATGTGTTTCATTCAATTATAATTTTTCTAAAGTAAGGCTTTAAAATGTAGTTTTAAAGAATTTATAATCAAAATGCTGTTTAATTTCTTATATGAATGATAACAAAGATTTAAATTTCAAAGAAAAGATCTTTTGTTTGAAGTGTTGTAAGAAATGAATAAAGAATTATTAAAATTACAATAAATATTGTGTCATTTATTTCTAAACTCTATAATTTACTTTATTTTATGTAAAAATTTATCAAATATTTTCTGTTTTATATAAACTTTTTTTATATTAAAATTTGTCTCATAAGTCAGCTATAAAAATATAATTAATTAGTTAATTAATAATCTATTCACTATTCTGAATATAATTTTATCTTAAAAATATTTTTATAAATACAATGCATAGTAATTATAGCTTCGTTAATTTAATAAATAAATAAATATTTTTAATTAACTATATTTTATTTTTACATGTTTTCAGTTTTTTAAACAAAATTATAGCATTTAAACAAGAAATCATATACATCTTATTATATGAAAGCTTGGAATGAGAGCATTTACTGTATATTATAATTATTGGTTTATTTTAAGCAATTTTAGAAATATGCGAAAATGAATTACAAATTATTATTAATAATACTAACAATAAGTATATTTGCATTATAGAAGACATCAAATTTTAAACTCATTTGAAAACCAGTTTTGCAATGAATTCATAAAGAAAGAGAACATTGAATACAATCATAAGAAAGTATTTTTTAGAAAATTATTTAACAATTTCATTTGAAATATGCATTAATTCACATTAATTAAAACATAAATTTTATAAATCTTGATATGAGAAAAATCTATTTTATTGATTAATCCAAATTATTACAATATTATTCATTAATCAATAATAAAATCAATATACAGTACAATAAAAGCAATATATAATTTTAGCATAGTTCTAAATAGTTTAAGAAATTAAATCTCAAAACTTAATTATAAATAATAAATAATAAATATTGAAAATGAAATAAAAATGCAAGTTTTGTACGGTATGTATGGTATGGAAGTGTAGTAAATGGTAATCGTATCGAAAGAATCGATTTGTTTCTCATTTGTTTCTAATAATAACTGTTAGTTTGACTGAAAAGTTGAAAGAGTGAGGACTTTGTGGTCATTAGCCCTGATGTTAGTGCAGAACAGATACAAATGACCTAATATTGAGTTCTGTGACCAACATTCACATCAAAGGCATTGACCCTAATATTGAAGACTCAATGCATGAGATTTGAGTTATAATAGTGTTAAAGAAGTTAGAGATGAGTGCAGCTATTAGTTCCTCATTGAAGCCAACAATAAACAGTCAGACAATTGATCGATGAAACTATGTTTGCATTGCTTCTCAATTCACATATCTTGCGCCCAAACATGAGGTGTAAATGAAGTTTTTTGTGCTCGAAGTCGCACTTTAAGCCATTTGACATCATATCTTAAAACCCAAACTTATTTCAACACTTCCTAAGTTTGTAAAAGTTTGTAAAAGTTGTCGCGATTTTACTGTTTGTTTGCTTTCATCTAATAAAAGTGACTTTTATTTCGGGATTAATACACATTTAAATGTAAGTAACAATTATTATTTATTTATCAATAAATATATGACAAACTTCAAGAACTTTATTGGATTCAAATGTTCAATAAATCATATGAAAACAACTTTCATATAACAGTAAAATATGACTAACTTTTGCAAAAGTAGAGCGCCTGTGGAAGAATGTCTTTGGCAATTGTCAATTGGTCGCCATTGCTATCCAATAAGTCATTCAACTTCTACTACTATGACATGTGGCAGCTGTACGACGACCCCCGGTCCACGTCGTGGCCATTCTTCAAGGGCGGCCCCTGGAGTACGTTAGCCATCATTGCCTCCTACCTCTACTTCGTTAGAGTGTTTGGTCCGGAGTTAATGAAAGGACGGAATGCCTACGACCTGAAGAAACTAATCCTAATGTATAACGTGTTTATGGTATTGATCTCCCTTTGGATGTTCACCGAAGCGTGTCTTTTGCTGAATTGGGGTCTCGACACGTGGGGCTGTCAGCCCGTCAACCAGAACTCCAATGACCCCATAGAGGATCGCAAACTGCTGTTGGGCTGGACTTTCTTCATCACGAAGTTCATCGAGTTGTCGGACACTGTGTTCTTCATTCTCCGCAAGAAATACAGTCAACTCTCCGGTCTTCACGTGATCCACCACTCGATGGTTCCGATACTCGTGTGGATTGGCTTTAAGTTTCTTCCGGGCGGTGCGAACGCCTTCTTCCTGTACATCAACTCCTTGGTTCACGTGATAATGTACTGCTACTACGCCCTGTCCACCTTCGGGCCCTCCGTGCAGCCATACTTGTGGTGGAAAAAGTATTTAACGAAACTCCAGATCATTCAGTTTGTGCTCATCATTACGAATAGCGTTCGCCTCTTATTTCTGCCCAACTGTTCGGCGCCCAAAGCCTTCAGCTATTTATCGATAGTAAATGCGGCGCTTTTTCTCGTACTCTTCGCCTCCTTCTATAGACAAAGCTATAGTCATCGACACAAACCCACTAAACTTCACACCAATTAATACTTAGATTTTATAAATATATAGTTCTATATAAATATAATATGTTATAAATAAATGTTTTTCTATTTCATTATTTCTTATTTAACAATTTTGCTAACAAATGCTCATTAAATCATTTTTTAATCAAATATCAAATTTTCAAAGTAAGTGCCAATTGTGTGATATTTTCAGTTTTACTCACTCAATCAAATAAAGTGCATTCAATTAAGAAAGTAATTGTTAATATAGAGTATTTAATTGTATTCATATGTCCTGGCTTATTAAATCTATCCTTTTTGTGAATATTTTTCATTTTTATAATAATATACATTTTATAATTTTTTTCATTGAAGACAAACTCAATTTTACACGGAATTTGATTATAATTTGCTTTAATACAGGTAATAGTAATAGTAATGACTGGCATTATTTAGTTTTATAGATTAATACAACATTATGTTTGATCACAATTGCAATTATGACTGAGTTTTGCACAAAAATGCATTGAAAAATAAAGTTTTAATTGAGTTCACAAAGCACTTATTGCAGTCATAGAGTAACATGTATTGCAAACCCAATAGTTGTTCACTGTCTTCAACATCGAGTCCATCGATGAGTCCATCGTTTGCGAGCTGTGCCTGCGCTGCCTGTGCCGTCAGTTTCGGTGTTATCTTACTGATGGCCGGCATTATAATAATAGCCATGTCTTCGGTGTCACCGACGTCTCCATTTCGTGACAATCCTTTCATTTTGCAATCGCGCGAAGAACTCAATACAACCCCTCAAATCATATCTATAGTACTGATGAGCATCGGGGCCGCCTTCGCTCTCATCTCAATTGTTTTTATGGTTATATCATTGGTTTTTCGCAAAAAACCTCAAAATCAAGAGTTTGTTAATCAAACTTCAGCCGAAGATATAAATAGCGCTCAGAATATGACGGAAAGGGACGCAGAAGTGGTTTCGGCGACCAATCATCTCATCGAAGACAAGATTATAGAAGAGACTAAAAAGGAAACCCTTTGCGGAGATATTAATACAATAGGACTACCAATCCGTTTGCCACACAATGGGTTTAGTTATACGGCTTATCCACCCATTTATATCCAAAGGCCTTACTCTCGAAATGTTACTTTTAGCAAAGAATCTCGAATTTAAAATTCATAAAATGTTAATGATGATTTCTAAGTGCAATATTTTTATAACAAATTTTCATTTGTGTATTCATCTTCATTCATGTCATTCACTTAAATTAAATATAACTGATTATCATTGAAGTTAAGACACTAATATTACAATAGTAGATATTTGTTTCATATTTTTATTTACTTAGAAACTATTTATAATTTATTTATGTAATGTATTGTATAATGTATTTATAATATACAATAAAACATTGTATAAATGAAAGGATGTAATTTGGATAATTTGAGGAAAATTAATTGAATGCTTGTTTCAAATCACTACTCATGTGCTTAATTTACTAATTGTTATGTTTCCCTAAAATCGTGTATTCATTGTCTAATATTAATAACATGTTTTTTTGTGTTGAACTGTATTAGGAATTTATGTTGTTTTTAAATAAACGTGTTTAAGAATAAAATGATAACATGTAAACGTACGGTATTTATACAATTCTATATATTCACACAAAACTGGATTCTATACAACTGGCCTTAAATTGTTTGTTTTAGTATATAATTTATAAAATTGAAAACATAATAATAATGCCATTCATAACTAATTTCTAGTTTTAATAAATAGTACAAATTCAGCGATAATTCAGTAATACATGCATTAATTTAATTTTGTAAAATTCATTAGTAATCTTTAAAAACAAGTTAATTAATGTATATTTTATTTTAATTCAAGTGTTTTGAAAAAATTCACACAATTTAATTAATTTTTTAAAGTAATTAAACAAATATTACGAAACAGTAGAGTTGTTAGCAAACTCTCACTTTCCTAAAAACAATTAGTTTCGCCGGATTCTTGGGTTTATTTATCAAAACACATATCTATGACATAATTATCACCAAAACTAATGTAAATAACTTCTTATATTTTTCAAAATTCAATTACTCATCAAAATCGTTGTTATACTAAAACTTACGGAAATATTAGTGTTATTTGATTAGTTTGAGTGATTTGAAGTGTCACTAAGAATTAATATCATTGTTTAGCAATAAGTTATTTAATATAAGAAATAATGAGTAATAATGGAAATGAATAATTAATAAATTGCATCAAAAGACAGATATCGATGACATCCGACTCCTACACCAAGTCGTTAGACAATAGACTTATGAACTGAAGTCATAATAACTATAAAATAGATTCTTTGTATTCTTTATACAGTAATAAATTTTATATACACTCGTATCACAAGTTTTGATAAGTAAGTAATGAGCAAAATAATTTTCATTTATAATTATTTAATACTTATATCTTTTAAAATTTTAATTTTGCATATTTTGATCGATAATTATAATATACATTCATTGTTTGGACCCAAATCTAGATTATAGTCATTATTAATACTAGACTAATATCAGTCATTAATATTGATTTTATTTTTTGTTTTTATCGTTTTTAGCAAAAACTAAGACAAAAGTCCGAAACAAACTCTGTTTGTATTGAATGCTAAGAATTGATAGTAAAATAAAGTAAAGGAAATATTTGCCACATATTTGGTATTACGAGCTCTAAGTCTACAACAACTCCCAGAGACTATCATAGCTTTTATTATATAACATACCATTCATAGCTATGTTGTAATCATTTTAAAAACAACTTTTATTTAATGCAAACCTTCACTGAATAAATGAAATATTTTCCAAACACAACAGTATTACACGAATTAAACGACTATAATATGTGATATTTAAAGGTATTTCAAAATGATATACATGTATAATATAGTCGTATATGAAAGTATTTAGTGAATAATGAATTGAATAATAAATTCATACATATATTGCGGTTTGAATATTGAGTTCAATTGAATGCATTGACAGACTATTCGTAGTAATTGTGTGTCTCATAGCCTGCTATTAGATTGCATTCACTTTTGTTTGCATTGCTTTCCGTTCAATACATTTACATTTAATTCAGTTTTCGTTGTATTTGTCATTTTAATCGCAAATATTTTAAACAAATATTTATTTATTTATTATTTATTTATTTAAAACGTTTTAATAATTAAATGATTTGTGATTTGAATACACAGTTTGGAGGCAATCGATGAAAACAATGGATTTGCGGATCAATTAATTGATTGATTTGTTGTGATATTAACACAAAATGCAATTCAATTCATATGTTTTGCTAATGAGTGCCACAATTGCCTTCAGAGTGTCATCAATTGAATCAATTGAACGCCATTTCAATTGATGTCTTGAGGGCGATCAGTGCCACCACTGCCACCATATGATGGATGACTACGAGTACGTGCGGAACATGACGTTAATGTTCTTCTTGGACCGCCTGATGTCCAAAGACCAGCCGCGGACTCTTCACGACCTCTCGTGTCAGTTCGGGACCAAAGGCTTCACGAAAGAGATGCGACAAATCGCCGGCGGAAGTCAGTCCGGACTCAAGAAGTTTCTCTCGCAATACCCGTCACTCTTCTCCATCGATTCCGATCAGGTATTCCTCGAGAAGTCCATCACATGCTTCACGTGATTTCATTTCAATTGTTTGCTCCGAAGGTCTCAATCACACCACTAGTGAAGGAGACAAATGGCACGATTGGCTCCGGAAGGCGGGACTACACGAAAGAAGCGGTTGAGTTCTTCAGGGAGAAGTTGGCTCAATATGGCAACGCAGAGGTGCCCCTCAAGAGTCTGTTGGGACACCGATCGCAGGCGCCTCCAGAGGTGCGACACGTGTCCGGACAGCACTCCCGAGAGTTCAAAGATTTTCTGTGCAAACATTCGGATGTGTTTGTCGTTTCCGATGATTATGTGGTTCTTCAGAGTGTTATCGAGAAACTGGAGGCAGACGGCAAGACCAAGGGGTCACTGACGAGAATGCCAGAAGAGGTTCCCTTTGATCCCTATCTCACCCAACAGTTCATTTCGATGCTCGAGACAGAGATCACACGACTGATCCCTCAATACTCATCCAAACTGACAATCGATTTGCTATTTAATCACTTGAAGACAGACTGCTGTCAGGACTCGTGGACTCATTGCGTTAAGAACGCCAACGATTTGATAACATTTCTCAAAATGAATTCAAAGATCTTTTTGGTTGAGTCCCACTTCGTATCACTGACTCCCGGAAGACTGGAGCAAAACGCGGAACAACTCAATAACCATAATAACCGCAACAATAGTAACCACTCGTTGACGTCCATCTCGTCCTCGCAGTCTTCAAACACATCGACCCCCATATCGACCCCCATATCTTCGCCCTCACGAGTCAATAGCGCCTCGTCTGCCAACTCAATGAATCAGAGAATTCGCAACCAAATCATGAAAATAGTTTCAGACAATTCTCAACTCAAGTACAAGAATATGTCCAATAATACTAATACCGGTAATCATAATACTAATAGCAGTAACCTGTGGGCCGGCACTGAAGCCAATGTTATTCGCAATACAAGGATAATCACCAAAACAAAAGAAGGTGAAGAAGTGGTGGCAGATATTCTCAGACACAATACGTTTGTTGCGGTCGACTGCGAAGGCGTCAATTTGGGCGCCGGCGGACAAATCACTTTAGTTCAATTGGCGTATATGTCCGCTTCAGATCCACACTCATCTGTGCCTAAGATTTGTATATTTGATGTCTTCTTAAATCCTGATTTCCTCAAGAGTTGTTTGAAATCGTTGTTTGAATCGGAAAAAGTAATTAAAGTGATTCACGACGTGAGGAATGATAGCAGTTGTCTACATAACCAGTACGGGATAACCATAGCCAACATCTTTGACACTCAGGTCTCGCACTCAATAATACAACAGCAGAACACCGGAAGGCCTGCATATAAAGCCAAATACATATCGCTGAACAACTTATGCGAACTGTACGGCAGCTCTGGATATCAGTCTAACCCTAAGAAGGAACAAATGAAGAAAGTCTATCGAAAGGATCAGAAGTATTGGAGTCATAGACCCCTAACTGAAGAGATGATCTTTTATGCAGCGTTTGATGTCTTCGCTTTAGTTCCCGATGTTTACAATAATATGTTGAAATCAATTCGTGCCGAATATATGCCTTTACTTAAACAACTCAACTATGAGGCAGTCTTCGCCAAAATAGACACCGAAAGAGTGAAACAATTGAAAAAACAGCGCAAAGTCGATATGGAAGTCATGGACCTGAAGCTCAAACTCTTCAACACGGAATCCAAACAAATTGTTTTAAGTAATCGTGAGATCAGACTATTAAGGTATGCATACATTCTCTCGTATTTTCTTAAATTCAAGTCAAATACTTTAGTCTGTAAACTGTTAACCATCTGTTATTTAGTGATGTTTACTGTTTACTGTTGTTTATAATAAGGATTTATCTATGAATTGATGATGAAATGCAGTTCATTTGACTTTTCAGATATATTGATCTCACGGATGAGATTCGAGTGAAGATTGAAGGCTCACAAAAAGTGGCCAAAAAGTTGGAGAGAATTGATAAGAAAAGTCTGGAGACGACCACTGGCTCTGCGAACGTTCAAAACAATGATACAAATGATATGAGTTCTAGTGATGAGGAGTCGGACAGGAATTCGGATATTGAATCCGACATTGAAGGCGAGGATGTGATCAAAAGTGTGGAATTAAACAATAATATATTCACAAGCGTTCCCTTCAGTCCATCCGATTCTCTCATATCAACCAAAAGTTGCTGTAATTGTGTTTGTCATCAAAACAATGGCTCGTCTGAATTGAGTCCAAACAAACCGATGACTAATGATAATCATGTGAATAAGAGACCGGTTTGTGAGGCATCGGTTCAGACGTTGGCGACCGGGGATATAGTTATCACTAAAGTTTATTTTGATGAGAATCAGCAATAATTACTGTTATATCAAAATATTAATGCCTTAGACAATGTCTTAATTTAAGTAACAAAAGCCTTTCAAATATTGAAGTGCAGCTCATCCACAGTCCATACCTATTGGCCGAACATGCCTTGCAATACATACAAAGAGTGTCTATTTTTGACTGAATATTATTAGAGTTACTGAAGATATTGTTTGTCATAACAGGACTGTTGGTGAGCTCCACATCATTGTATAGAATGTTTAAATAGATATGTTTTGTAATTTATTTATTTGCAAACCCTTTGAAATCAAATGAGTTTCAATTTCTGAAGTGATCTCTGAAAGAGTGAAGTGTTTGTCAAATATATTTTGAATCATATATTTTGGACGAAGAATTTAAGCGTTAAAACGAATTGTTGGCCAAAAATGCATAAAGTGTTACGCTATGAATGCATACATATTTACAAATAATCTGTACTTTTTGGGTAATATTTTACAGCAATATATTCAGCTATTATTGCTTTTAAAAAACTATTGGTTTTTATTGAACACAAGTTTTATATTGTTTTACATTTAAAACATTCAATTATGAATTAATAAACTCTATGCCATAATATAGGAAATAATAAATAAATTCAATTGAAAACTATAAATATTGCTTTTATTATTCATTGACGAGAAATAAATAAATTAATTATGAATTTCTTATAATACAAAAGGACATAACATTCACTAAAAATCATTTGTTAACTTAAATACAAATATTTTGAAAAATATAGGTTTGGTTTAGAAGAGTATGTGATGAGAGTCTCAGTGAAGATGTTTCGCAGAAAACAATTTGTTAGAANAATATAGGTTTGGTTTAGAAGAGTATGTGATGAGAGTCTCAGTGAAGATGTTTCGCAGAAAACAATTTGTTAGAAAACTAATGACTAATAAATAACTATAACATCAAAGCTCTTCTCTCATGTATTTGGGTTTCAAGAGCTCTATTCTTGCGATGAACTCAGACTTCTCTATACATCCGTCGCATACTTCATCCCAATCGTTGAGCACTTTCTTGAGGTCCCGGACCCGCAGTTTCTTCAGGTCCACAGACTTCAAGTCAATCGTCTTCTCTGTTCACAACAACACAACCACTCATGAGATCACTGTTGCCATCAAAAGAGTGTCTATTCATACAAACCATATCTAAGTTCACAGATCTGCGAGTCCTTCTTCATGAGCTTTTCGCACACTTTGTCGGCCGGAAGTCCCCAACTCAGGGGTCGAGACATTTCGCTCAATATCTTAGTGGCCGACTCTTCCAGTCCTCCGATGTAATAGCACTTCAGAGACACAAACATTCAGTGACCACTCATTCAGACAATAAGACTAAGACTAAGACTTACGAATCGGTTCTCGGCTTTCTTCGTCTCTAAACACAGTTCTTTGAACTTCTCCTCAATCTTCAGGTGATCGGCCTTCTCGTCGCTCTCCAATCGGTTCACCAGTTTAGTGATGACTCCCACACAGACTGCAAGACAAAGACATATCAACGATGGCATCAATGGATCCAATGGTTGTCCATATATGGCATACCCTCGCACTGGCCTTCGCGCAGACATTCAGACATTTGCCACAATTGAGTCAAATATAAGACAATTGCCAACACGTGAAGAGACCATGAATTGGATGTGAATTGCATTGTGTCTGCACTTAATACTAGTGACCAATAATTGGTTTAAAATTGCGTTATAAATGAAATACAATTGAAATACAAATGAATTGCAATTAAAAGTGAATTCAATTGAAAACTCAATACTTTTTATACGAATGAAACGCCGGGCTATACGTCACCACTCAATGCCTACGCTCTCATTGGCTCTCAGATGCCATTCATTACATAAGGGGCGTCACTATTGGCCGCAATATTATATGAGAGTTGTGTCAGTCATTGATTGGTCGGCACATGAGAGCGATGTTTGAATTGACATCCAATGAGATTTGGCGCACTTTTGCACTCATTTTTGTATTGATTTTGGCATTTGTTATGGTTTTGAATGCACTGCAGAATTGAATTGTGTTTTGTATGCAAACCATTGCATGGATTCGTAAATGACTTGACTTTCGCCACAATATGAGTGAAAACATGAGTCCAAACGGACGGGTCGTTAAGCGCCGGACTCTGAGACAAACCCATCTCGTGTTCACCACAACTGTCCACAACAAACACACCGTTGGACTCGATGTCAGAGTCAACAAACGGCTCAAGAGTTCGGTGACCACTGAGAAGACAGAGACCGATGATGTGCCAAAAGTGGTGACACTCGATGACTCCTTCGAAGAACCCACTCATCCATCGGTTCCCGAAGTGATTGTCAAGTCGGAGGACAGAGACTTGGAGTGCGAAGACAGTGATTCAGTGACTGAGTTGAGTATTGAAGACGAGTTAAATCTCATCGTCGACTGTCACGAAAACATAGTAACAGTTCCCGCCCTCAAGACTCGACAACAGGTCCAAAGCGATTGCATAGCTTTGGGTCTCGACTTAGACATCGATGACTCGGGTGACGAGTCGGACACCGGGTGTGCCTCCAGTGGTGTGGACTATGAAGTGGAGTCCATATATGACTCAGGAGTGGATCCACAGAAGAATCGAATGATGTATTCCGTGAAGTGGAAGAACTATCCCGAAGAGGCAAACACTTGGGAACCGATCGGCAACTTAAGCCATTGTAAGAAACTGTTGGAAGAGTTCCGACACATCCGGAACCTCGACGACACTCAACTGATGGACTGTTACCACAACTACTATAAACTGAAAGGAGTTGTCGAAGACATCTGTGAGAAGAAGTTAGACAAAGACGTGATGATCACATTTCTCATCAAATTCAAAGACATTCCTCTCAAGACCTTCAACTATTCCAAGGCATCGGTCCATAAGCTGCGAATGGATTTGAAGGAAAGGTGTGTTTCCAAAATGGATAAAATCAGCGAAACCACCAAAACTGACAAACGGGTCCATGAAATGCAAAATCTCTTCAATGAATTAGTGACTGATCTGAACATCAATTCCCGTTTCGGCAGTTTTCAACAATTCATAGACTTCTTCACAAAACGAAAGCAAAGTAATTATAGACTTAAGAAATGGGAGAAAGAGATGAATGTCATCATTGAGAAGGACAGGGAGGGACAGACCATTAAGCTGGAGAACTATGTGGACTGTGAGGTGCCGCCGCATAACTTCGAGTACATCTCGAAATGTAAAACAAATGACTCGAGAATAAGATGAATGTCATCATTGAGAAGGACAGGGAGGGACAGACCATTAAGCTGGAGAACTATGTGGACTGTGAGGTGCCGCCGCATAACTTCGAGTACATCTCGAAATGTAAAACAAATGACTCGAGAATCACAATCAGTGATGACCCGCCCCTCTATTGCGAGTGCAGTGACTGCGAGACCGGCGAGGAGGGCTGTTGTGTTGTATCCAATCAGTCGTCTATTGTCTACAACAGGAGTGGCATACTTAAGGACACTCGACACCTGCGAAACCCATCGGCTATCTATGAGTGCAACAACAAATGCAAATGTAGTGACAATTGCCTCAATAGAGTCGTACAAAAGGGTCGAAAGGTTTGTATTTGACTTGTTTTGCATCCAATGTCTGACACATGTCTTCAGCATAAGATCGCTATATTCCGGACGGACGACGACAAGGGATGGGGAGTGCGAGCACTGGAGCCCATACCGAAGGGCTCGTTTGTCATGGAATATATCGGTGAGATAATCACCATAGAGGAGGCCGACCATCGCGGGGCCATCTATGACGCCGGAGGAATCACTTACCTCTTCGACTTGGACTACAATGAAGAGGTGGACGGCTATAAGTACGCGTTGGACGCCACCCACTCCGGCAATGTCTCACACTTTGTCAACCATTCGGTCAGTTGTTGTGAACCCATGTCTCCAACATTTCATTCATAATAACTCTTACTTGAAGTGCGACCCAAATCTGGACACACGAGTGGTTTGGGTCAACAATTTGGACCCATTTATGCCACACATCGCTCTGTTTGCCATCAAACACATCAAAATGAATGAAGAGCTCACTTTCGACTATAAAATCAATGGTATTTGAGATGAAATTGATTGAAATGAATGTCACAATCAGTGAATTGTATTTATGGTTTAGTGCAACGGATTACCGCCAGTGCTAACGGTTCACAGATCAGTTGCTCTGAAAGAAGTTTCGACTCCGGCTTCGAGGGGTCGACCACTGGTGCGAAGGAGACTCGAGAGGCAAAGACACTGGCGGTCACGTGTAGGTGCGGCGCTCACAACTGTCGCCAGTTTTTGTATTCATTGCCGCCGTCACAGACCTCTTAATGATTGGATCAATGATTAGATCAATGGTTATACTTTTACTTAATCATAAGTGTAAGGGAATCAACACTTTTTGAATTATTTATTTTGACACCATTTTAAGAATGACTTCATTTTACCGTAAATTCATAATTTAATTTCATTTTTATATTTAATGTTTTGTTCATTATTTATAAGTTAATTTGAATATCGATTTCATTAAATTGATTGAAAAGGAGTCGAATGAGGACTAAAATTAATGGTTTTCACGATAGGAATGATATAATCGAAAGTTAATTGACATTAGATTAGAGGCTATTATGTAATGTATATAAAAGACAACTATTTTAAGTGAAATACAATGAGTTATTTCGACGACCGGGCGGTCAGTCCACTGTAAATAAGGTTTGATATCGAGATTCGAATCAATACTTGAAATCTATATATAAACGAAACAGTAGTTTATAAATAGCTTTCTGTAAACTAAATGTTTGAATGAATGAATGGTTTGATGAGTTTCATGATGGCATGAAGTGTCACTTCTTGAAGGACACCTGTAATGGTTTGCCGGTATAGTTGAAGCCATTGAGGGCTGAGATGGCGTTGACGGCTTCGTTGTAGTTCTTCATAGTGACGAATCCAAAGCCTTTGCTCTCTCCTGACTCTCCCTTTCGGATGACATTGACGCGAACCACTTTGCCGTATGTGCCGAACAGCTCTCCCAACGTGTACTCATTANTAACAACCAAAAGGTTTGACTATTAGTTGCAAATGATTTCATATTTTATGCGTTCATTCGTTAGGATATATAACACAACACTAATTGTCTCTCATTTAAGATCTCATAACCGGTAGTAAAAGTTAGGTTTATACTGTATTACCGGTAATTGAACACTCAATGCATTTGTACAGTTCCTACAGTACAGTAGTCTATATTTTTTGACCTGGACAAAATTATTTGATAATTATTATATTTTACTTAAATTTATGGATTAATTTAAATTCAATTTAAATGATCATATAATTTATGGTTATCTTAAATGAATTTCTAAATTCTATACGACATTACACTTATATTTACAATAAATGTGTAATTGAAAGCACATAAGTTATTGTCATGAGCAGGGACATATTTTGGTTTCAAATATTTTAGTTTTTTATGATAAAAAATGTTAGAATTACTAGAATTTAGTTTATATTACAGTTAATATACAGTAATATATTATGGTTTTGTGACATATTCTGCAGTAATTGGAGTAATGACAGTACAGTATGTGATGAGAATACATAGATTAGGTGATAATGAAACCTTATTAACATTCATTACTAGACTACAGTATATAATACTCTGTATTTGTTTTGTTTGATAAATACTATTTCAACAAAATTGAAAGTTAAAAATAGTTTACATTTTCATACAATTAATGAGAATTTACTAGAAATCATAACTTTCACACTTAACTTTGTTTGTTAACTAACTTACGAATTACAAATATTTATCTCGGCTTTATGTTTGGTGTTGGGCTTCTCGTTAGCCCCAAGTCCTCCTCCACCTCCACCTCCTCCTCCCCCAGCTTACGGGTCTTCGAGGGGCTACTCGTACTCACACATGCCATACGAGGCGTACAGTTCTTCGGGACCGATGCGACACATGTCTCACAACACTCGTGAGCATCGATTCAATCCGATGTCAAACATTCACCAATCATTGCAGTCATACCAAAGCTATACGACGTCTCCAAATCCATTAGCGTATAATCAGCCGCCGCTGCCGCTCTCGGCATCGATGGCCGCACCGCCACCTCCACCACCGCCTCCTCCACCGCCGCCATACGGGTCGAGCAGTTCCATGGATAATGGGTTCAACGCGGAAAAGGGGGGCTTTATATTGTTTGCCTACAATATAGGGCCCGACACTAATGAGTACACGTTGGGAGAGCTGTTCGGCACATACGGCAAAGTGGTTCGCGTGAATGTCATCCGAAAGGGAGAGTCAGGAGAGAGCAAAGGCTTTGGATTCGTCACTATGAAGAACTACAACGAAGCCGTCAACGCCATCTCAGCCCTCAATGGCTTCAACTATACGGGCAAACCATTACAGGTGTCCTTCAAGAAGTGACACTCCATGCCATCACTCACTCATCAAACCATTCATTCATTCATTTAGTTTACAGAAAGCTATTTATAAACTACTGTTTCGTTTATATATAGAATTCAAGTATTGATTCGAATCTCGAAATCAAATCTTATTTACAGTGGACTGACCGCCCGGTCGTCGAAATAACTCATTGTATTTCACTTAAAATAGTTGTCTTTTATATACATTACATAATAGCCTCTAATCTAATGTCAATTAACTTTCGATTATATCATTCCTATCGTGAAAACCATTAATTTTAGTCCTCATTCGACTCCTTTTCAATCAATTTAATGAAATCGATATTCAAATTAACTTATAAATAATGAACAAAACATTAAATATAAAAATGAAATTAAATTATGAATTTACGGTAAAATGAAGTCATTTTTAAAATGGTGTCAAAATAAATAATTCAAAAAGTGTTGATTCCATTCCCTATGATTAAGTAAAAGTATAATCATTGACCGAATCATTAAGAGGTCTGTGACGGCGGCAATGAATACAAAAACTGGCGACAGTTGTGAGCGCCGCACCTACACGTGACCGCCAGTGTCTTTGCCTCTCGAGTCTCCTTCGCACCAGTGGTCGAGCCATCGAAGCCGGAATCGAAACTTCTTTCAGAGCAACTGATCTGAGAGCCGTTAGCACTGGCGGTAATCCGTTGCACTAAACCATAAATACAATTCACTGATAGTGACAGTCATTGAAATCAATGTCATCTCAAATACCATTGATCTTATAGTCGAAAGTGAGCTCTTCATTCATTTTGATGTGTTTGATGGCAAACAGAGCGATGTGTGGCATAAATGGGTCCAAATTGTTGACCCAAACCACTCGTGTGTCCAGATTTGGGTCGCACTTCAAGTAAGAGTTCATTATGAATGAAATGTTGGAGACATGGGTTCACAACAACTGACCGAATGGTTGACAAAGTGTGAGACATTGCCGGAGTGGGTGGCGTCCAACGCGTACTTATAGCCGTCCACCTCTTCATTGTAGTCCAAGTCGAAGAGGTAAGTGATTCCTCCGGCGTCATAGATGGCCCCGCGATGGTCGGCCTCCTCTATGGTGATTATCTCACCGATATATTCCATGACAAACGAGCCCTTCGGTATGGG